CTGAAAGGGCGCCTGCCCTTAGGGTTGCTGGTCACAGGCTTGAAGAGTCTCTGCTAGCCATCAGCCCCAGGGGCAGTTTTGTCCGGTAAAGCAGTAATATTCATGCCCTGTGGCAAGGCTTCCTTGGGAATAAATCATGCAGCAAGTTGAACTTTCAACTCTCATCTCTGAGGCTAATTCTGCGAGGTAATGTGGAAACGGGCAGAGTGTGCCTAGCCTGTGCGGAGATTAGGTATGGGTTCTCCAGCCGTGTCAGTGTAGCCTCTTTTCTCCTCCACCTCCTACCCCCACTCATGTTTTTTTTCTTGCTACTTTTCAAAATTGAAAGACTGCAGAGAGGGGAAATCCCTTGGCATTTTGAATATTGAGGTGCTCAGCAGAACTGCCTGGCATCCTGTTTGTATATAGCGGTTTTAATTTGCCCTTTAATAAGTCATTTGGCCTTACTAGCAGTCTTAAACTTGATAATCCTTACATCAACAGTGAGCCTCAGGCCAAATTCCCAGAGTGCATCCCTGAGTGATTATTTGAAGGAAGTTTTCAAACCTTCCCTCCCTGGCTCTGTTTGTCTGCCTTCTGCCAGCACATCCTTAGGTCAGGCTAATGCTCATTTGAGCATCCCTCTTGCTCACTGCAGCAAGACAGGCAGGTGATTTGAGAGCAGGATGAGTGAGGGAAGTTCCTGTTCCCATTCTGTGCAAGGAATGCCATCTTAGTCAGTGGAGAGGGGATTTGGGCTCTGGGGAAACACAAGCCTTTTGGTACTATTTTAATGGAGACAAAAACAGGAGTGGCCTGCTGATGGGTTGAAAAATCACAGCTGTTCTACTGACTTGACAGCCTTTTTGCTGCTCTCCTCACAGGGGCCACGATGATGATAAGAATTGCTCCTCTCGCAGACTGCCCTTGACCTTGTTCCTTGCATCTGAGGTGCCCAGGCCTTCTGGAAGTGCATTATGTCCTCTCTTTTATTGGCTATTATTAGATACTATAATATTATTGGCTCTCACACCACTGATCACTGCAGTCTGATGTTTCAGATTAAAAGTGGCATCTTGGGCAGAGTTAAGGCTGTATTTGGAGATGACTCTAGGATAGTCACTACCTGCCAATCTCGTTGTCTTTTATTCTGAAGTAGATGTTCCTATTTTGATCTTTAAAAATATTACAGCCCTATGCGACCAGATAATGATTGCAGAGCCTGTAAGCTGTCAGAGTGCCTGATAAACCTTCTCCTTTTTTCTTTTAAGGATACTCTGCATTTTGGTTCCTGCAGTGATGCATTAGAGATTATAGTCAGTGAGTGACAATAATAATCAGAGCTCAAAATTTCATCTTACAATTTATCTTACTGTAACTGCAGAACATCCTTGTAAAGGATCATCCCTGTTTAAAGATGGAGAAATTGAGGGGAGGGAGTGGGTCTGTAGTCACTGATAATGTCGACCAACAATAATGGAAAGGATCAGAACTCAGCTTTTAAAAGTTTGTTCAAGTGAAAAGCTGGGAATGGCCATTCGGGAAACAGGGACTTCCGAGAAATGAGGTCAGTGCTTAAAGTTAAAAGTTAAGGTCCTGCTTATATAGGCAGAAAACAAAGAAATTTAGTAGGTTTGTAACATTTTCTATACAAGGTTGGTTTATGAGCTATAATTTCGTTAATTACAGTTTGTTTTCTTTTCTGTACAGCTTGTTTTCACTTCCTTTCCAACTGAAGAGTGTAGGACCTGGCATGGTGGCTCACGCCTGTAATCCCAGCACCTTGGGAGGCAGGGGTGGGAGGATCACTTGAGCCCAGGAGTTTGAGACCAGCCTGGGCAACGTGGAAAAACCCTGTCTCTACAAAAAATGCAAAAATTAGCCAGGCATGGTGGGACGCACCTGTAGTCTCAGCTACTCGGGAGGCTGAGGAGGGAGGATCACTTGCACCTAGGAGGCAGAGGCTACAGTGAGCTGTGATCATGCCACTGCACTGCAGCCTGGCTGACAGAGTAAGACCTTGTTTCAAAAAAAAAAAGAAAAGAGTGTATGTAACATACCATCCTAGATGACGTGACAGTCTTTTAAGTCTCTGTATGAGAAGTGTAAGAGGGAAGTTTAATCTGTTATGAAGAGCAACAGTTAAAAGGGAAGGGGTCTTCTCTGGCACCCTTTATTCATTTACAACAATTTACAAAACAGTGTAGGTGAGGCAAAAGGCTAATCTATAATCAGAAAAACAACACTTACAGCTGCCCAGGTTACAGCTACAAGTTTAAGTGACCCACATAATCACATTCCCTTAAGTCTTACAATATGTTAAGATTCCAACAGCTTAGATTTTGAATTACATATTTTCACAATAGGAAAGCATTAAAGTCTAGTCCGCCCCAAGAAACTTTTTGTCCCCTTTCTTCAGTAGAAAAGAAATTTCTATTTTTTGTACCTAGGTGAACGTATGTGTGTCTGTGTGTAGAGGAGCATGACTTACCTTAGGATAAACAGGCTCAGTTACATTCTTTTGTGATGATATTTAGAAAGAATCCACTTGGGCAGAGCCCATATGAATATTTTTAAAGTAGATGGAAGGTTTTTTTGTACTCCGGATGTGGTGGATCTCCATTTCCTTGTTGCCTCTTCGTACCTCCCACGTTTGGTCTCCTCAGAAGTAATCTCACAGGTGGCCCAGAAGACAAATGCATTGTATTTGGCAGAAACTCAGAATCTTTTTTTTTTAGGTTTGAGGAATTTTAATAAGCATAACTGAAACAAAATTTTTTTTTGGAGGGTGAAACTTATTTGTGAACTTAATTCTTTTTGATGACTTAACTCCCAATAAAGTGATCTTAATTCTAAGTGAGATTAGTAACATAACATATGAAGAACCTTGATTTTTTTTTTCAAAATCGATTATATTTTTAGTCTGTTATTTATATATTTCTGTTTGCTCTCTGAAGTCATACTAGTCCTGTACCTCGATGCCTCTTTTATGAGGAATGCATCTGAAATATACCATTATTTGTTTTGATGTTTTGCAATTGGGATCTTCCAAGGGCTGTGATGATAGCTTTTCACATCATTTGCTTCTCATTCTTCGCTATCTTTTTGTATATGCACAGCCTAAGGATGGACCTGCTTCCCCTCTTGGCATTCTTTGGTACATGTTTGTTAGTGGAATTGAGAGGCACATACACAGTGCCTTGTGGACATGGCCTTCTACTAGCCTGTCTCCTAGGCCTCATCCCAGGAACTCTTAAATTTCTCTCACAGTATTAGTGGTCCTAGCTTGTCCCTGTTTCTTATATAAATGGCGATAATAATGCTCAGCTCTGGTTTATATCATAGCAATTTTTTGGAGTTAATGAGCTGGGCTTTGTAAGACACTTTTAGATCCTTAGATGAAAGGTGTTATTTAACCACAGCAAGGCTTCACACTGGGAGTGCCTTCCCAAAGAGCTCAAAGTACTTGTCAGCCTGTCTTCTGTTCATCCTCATACCATCCCTGGTAGGGAGGTAGGTGGTTAAGCATTATTATTAAGTACAAAATAGTGTTGTTACTGTTACTTTTATCTATAAGTGGGATAATTGTGAGAAATAGAAGTTGGTAAAACAGACTATGGAAGAAAAACACTGGGAAAACCTCAAAGTAGCATGCATTTGCTATTCCTATTCACTCTGCTTTGAGTTTCAAAAGTCTGATTGCCATACATGATAACAATAGCATCCTTTCCTAGAGAGAAATATGACCTAGTACATCCTTCTAAATACTTGAATTAATTGAACTCCCTGCACTTACTTTTAGTTGCTCCAGATTACATCCTAAGGGTTGGTTTATCTCATGTATGTAAAAAATGATTATAAATAGCGTAAGACTTGAATATTTTGAATTTTCGTTTTTAACTTCAAAACGGAATTTCTTCTTATTCAAGTAGTATTGAGACAGCAAATAGTTCACCGAGACCACCAGCACAAGAAGTAGATTTTCTTAAGAGGGATCTTGGAAGAGAGTAACCATAGCTTTGTCTAAGATTGAAGAAAAACAGTGAGCCTCATTTGGGGAAGCCAAGTGAGCAGGGATCCCCAGCAGATTGTCACTGTGCTGTTGCAGACTGGTCATTCGTTCAGTTTTGTAGCCCGAGGTCACAGATATGAGAAGAGAACGCCCCTCTCCACCTTCCTCCCCACCTCTGTTTGAGATTGCCGGTTTCATTTTGGCAGCCTTGTTGAATTTGGAGTTATTTCTGGTCTTTGATGGCTGTGTCACAGGGCAGTGGGGAAGGAGTAGAAGGTTTGAAACGAATGCAAGGAAAAATAACCACAGTGAGCCCTTAAATCTTGCTATTTGTTTTCTTTCAGTGTATACCACAACATTACCAGAAATCAATAATTCCGTCTGTGTTCTCCCTAGGAAAGAAACATGTACAAACTGAAAATGGTAGGCTTTACAGATCATGTGAGCAGGGGACAGCAGGATGGTTGGATTTTATCTTGCCATTCTTTGTCAGGGAAACCTTTATTTTGACCAAAAACCTTTCATCAAAGGTCCACATTTCTCTCTTACTTGGTGATAGGAAAAGTTTGTTTAATTTTCTAAAGATATTATTGATGCAGGATTTTTCTTGACCAGTTCGTCAAACTTGTGATGGGGGTGGCCCAATTTATTTGGCTCTCTGTGCTCAACCCTTGTGGGAGGGAGCATGTGAGCGAGTGAGTATGGGATCTGGCCGGCCATTTTGGGTGCTGGCAGAAGCAGGCTCCGTGTGGGCCCTGTGGCAGTGCCCAGGTGAGGGTGCCAGCGACCTCCAAAGCCCCAGAGGGCGTGTTAGAATGCTCTTTTAGTCCCACTGTCCGTGGACAGCAGTGTGTGATCAGCTCAGTGGTACCCTTGCCTCGTCATGTGGGGTGGCTGCCCTCTGCCAGTAAGGGCAAAGGGCCAGTGTGACAGCCTTTTCTGGGTACCCGCACCCAATGGGTCCTGAACTCTTGTCCGGAATCCAAGAAGAATGAGGTTGCCCAGACACTTGAAGGATATTGAAGGTGGAGAATTTTATTAAGCGATGGAAATGGCTCTCAGCAGACATGGGAGCTGGAGAAGGGATGGGACGGGCAGGTAATCTTACCCCAAAGTCTGCCTGTTTCTGGCTGGCTATTCCCGCAAGTCCAGCCATCTCTCTTCCGGAGTCCAGCCATCCCTCTGAAGTCAAGTCGCCTCTCTCCAGTCAAGCCGCTTCTTTCCCTCTACCAACTGAATCTGGGGTCTTTATAGGCACAGGATGGGGGGCGGGGTGAGCTGTAGGCAGTTTTGGAAAAGGCAACATTCAATTGGTAAAAAGACGTGATTTATGAAGAACCAATCAGGAGAGAGTGGGCAAACAGGGATAGAAGTTCTCACTTTGGTCTGCGGGTTTCAGGCTTCTCAGCTTGAAGGTGGGGTTTTGCTGGGGACCTGCCCCTGTCTGCCTAGAATTTCTCTGCCTCCTGTCTCCGTCATTATGAGTACTCAATAGAGGATAGCAGCTGTGTGCATAACAGTTTTCAAATGTCATACTTACACTTACTTAGGTTTTACATTTCTTTTTTTTTAAGATAGGGTCTCACTGACTGCAACCTCTGCCCCCACCACTCGCTCAAGTGATCCTCCCACCACAGATGCACACCATCACACACGGCTAATTTTTGTATTTTTTTGTAGAGACTGGGTTTTGCCATGTTGTCCAGGCTCGTCTTGAACACCTGGGCTAAAGTTATCATCCCATCTCCGCCCTGCAAAGTACTGGAATTAAAGACATAAGTCACCATGCCTGGCCTGGTTTTAAATTTTTTTTAAATCGTCCAAGTCAGTAGTTATTATTTACTAATTATATCACAGCGATTGGCAGTTTTAATCCTATTTCCATTTCCTCATTAAATATTTGTAGTTTTGTGTACTGTTCGTTGTTATGTTACTTTATAGCAGGTTTTAAAAAATACTGACTTCCATAACAACAGGGCTGTGTGTGTGTGCATGTCAGGGAAAAATGTTTCAGAAAGAAAATGGTTTAGGTTTCAAAATCCCCAAGGGAATTGTTATAAAACAACAGGAAAAAAAATTCAATGTGATTCAGACACCTTAACTAGATGCTTTTTCAACTTAAATTTTTCCTGTTAGGTCTGTTATTTTCCAAACAATACAACACTTTGCTCTTCATGTTTAGTTCAGGTTCAAAAGAGCAACCAAGTTTCTTTTTTAAACTTGTAGTTTAAGCTTTTTCTTCTTTCCCCATTCAAATACCAAATTAAATATAGTCTTTTAGTTGACTCGTGCTTATTTTCATCCAGAATTCAATTAAAATGCTTCCAGCTGAGCTAGAGCCATCCGATTCTTAAACCAGGTCCAGGAAAAGCAGTGGCAGTGAATATAGGAACAGCAAGGGAAAGAACATGTTCATTTCAGTCTTTGGGAGTTGTCTGGGTCAGCGTTCCTCACCGTGGCTATTTAATGGGGCTGTGTTTCAGGGGGAGCCACCCACAGTAAGGGGCAGTAGAGTAGAGGAATCAAAGGGCTCAGACTCTAGAGTGAGGCTGTTTGGGTGTGAATCTCAGTTTTTTACCTTTATTTTGTAGGAGAGGAAAGATTTCTTCTCTCGCCCATCACTTGGTTCATGGCTGAGGCCCCTGTAACAAAAGTCAGATTAATAAGAGAAAAGCATACAAATTTATTTAATACAAGCTTTATATGACATGGGAGCCTTCAGAAATAAAGATCCAAAGGAAGAGGTAACTTGTGTATTTTTATAAGTAGGTTTGATAAAGGTTTTATAAGTAGGTTTGATTTTTATAAGTAAGTTTGACTGTCATGGAGAAGTATGGTTGGAGAACAAAGGGTGTGGTCTAATGGTAATAAACTGAAGGGAGGCTTAGTAAGGCCTGTTTGTTCGGATTCTTCTCTATGCCCTGTATCTTCACAGATAAGGATATTTCTTTCCTCTGGGTAAAGGGAGGGTACCTGTCGAATGAGGGTCTTATGACCTGCTTCAGAGGAGAAGAGCAGGAGGTCACAGGACAGCCTTCGTAGGTTTTATCATCTGCTTTAGGGAAGAAGGGCTGTGGAAGGTAAGAGAGACTTTCCTGCTTCTGCTGTTTGCTCAAATGCCAAGGTGCCATATTTTGGGAAGTCCTGAACACCATCAACTTTGTGTGTGTTTTTAGGCAAGTGACTTAAGCCATCTAAACCTAAGGCTCAACTGTAAATGAGAATTAATCATAGGATCTATTTCCTGGGGTTGTGAGGATGCAATGAGATAATGCTTGGCACAAGTGTTTACTTAATAAATGTCGACTGTTGCGATCTTTATTAGTGTTGTTGTCAATACCTACATACTTTTGGTTCACTTTGATCTTTTTTTGTTTTGTTTTGAGATGGAACTTTGCCTTGTTGCCCAGGCTGGAGTGCAATGATGCAATCTTCGCTCACTGCAACCTCTGCCTCCCGGGTTCAAGTGATTCTCCTGCCTCAGCCTCCCAAGTAGCTGGGATTACAGGCTACCGCCACCACGCCTGGTAAATTTTTGTATTTTTAGTGGAGACGGGGTTTCACCATGTTGGCCAGGCTGGTCTTGAACTCCCGACCTCAGGTGATCCTCCCACCTCGGCCTCCCAAAGTGCTAGGATTACAGGTGTGAGTCACCACACCCAGCCAATCTTTTAATATATAACTATTGGCATTAGGTAACTTTGTTTTTAAAATCTGTTATGATAAATGTGGGTTCATAAAAATTAAAGTTGACATGGTAAACACCATCATAAGCAGAGTCAAAAGACAAGTGACAAACTAGAGGAAATATATGTATATTTGCAACTTGTGACATAGACAAAAAGTGTTCATTTCCCTAATATAAAAAGAACTACAACTCAATAAAGAAGGAACGATCGTAAAGCTTTTTATGGTGATCTGTTTCCACTTAACTGTGCTACAGATGTCTCTGATGCGTATTCTCAGAGCCTACCAGGAAAATCCTAGAATCGAGAAGGGCTTGGGACACAGAGAGCTAGTGGGTGTGATACAGCCGTGAGTATGCAAACACACCTGAACTTGTTGTTGTTGTTTTCCCCATGAAATAGCTCCCTCTCAAAAATGTTCTGTTACTATCAATGGCAGCCTCATACATACCCATTTGACCCATCATCACTGATTTTTCCATCTCCTTCTCATCCAGAAAGTCACCAAGGCATTTCTATGTTTCTTTTGTAATTTTTATTTTAGGTTTGGGGGTACTACATGTGAAGGTTTGTTACACAGGTAAACATGTCACGGGGGTTTGTTGTACAGATTATTACATCACTCAGGTATTAAGCTCAGTACCCAGTAGTTATCTTTTCTGCTCCTTTCACTCCTCCCACCCTCCACCCTCAAGGAGGCCCCAGTGTCTATTGTTTCCTTCTTTGTGTTCGTAAGTTCTTATCATTTAGCTCTGGTCTGTTTCATTCATAGTTTCATTCATGGCTTCATTTATTCATTCACATCTGCTCCAGTCTTTCCAACTATTGCCTGTTTGTAGTTGAGACACTCAACATCATCCTCATGACTGAATGACTACCATGGTCTCCTTTCTTTTCTTTCTCTTGTTCCCTTCTCCAGTCAGCACAACACATCATACCCAGGTTCATCTCCCTAAAACATGGTTTTCATCTTGCGCCACCAACCTACCCTAAAGCCTTCAGTGGTTCCCTACCGTGTAGGATGAAGTATAACTTGTGAACTTGAGCCTCAGGTCCCCCAGACACCCTTAATCTGATTCTCCTTCCTTCTGTCTTTCTCACTGCTTAAGTCTAGGAACCTTCCAAACATCTAAACTGTTTGCCTGGCCCAGCCCACCATGCCCATTTCTGCCTTCGTGCTGCCTTCCCTCCTCTGTGTTACACCCTATACTTGCCACAAGGCCCAGCTCAGGTCTGGTCTCCTCCAGATGGCTTTCCTAGGTCTGCAGCCCTCAGCATCCCTTGTTTCCTTACCTCCGGCTTTGTTTATTGATGGCCTATACCTCTCATCTCACACACTTAACCTTTACTGCCTATATTGTTTTAGGTAAACTTTTTTCGTTAAAGTAGAACATACATACAGAAAGCTACACAGATCACAGAGTAAAGGACTCAGTGACTTTTCATAAGGTGGACACACCCAGGTCATCAGCATTTCTCTCTTCTGATATGCACTCTCCCTAACGAGATGGTAAGCACTTGGGAAACAGAACTACTTTCCTGTGCCTCTTTGCATGAAAATGTATAACATCAGGTGCTCAGCAGTATTCCAGATCAGGAACTGAAGCTAAGAAAGAGATCCAGGTTTTTTACAAATAAGAAACATGTAGAAATGTCCCCTGCCCCCTTGATTTGAAGTAATACAATTTGGCAAGTCCTGTTCAGAAATTCCTTGGTGGGAATCTATACATTAGACCTTTAAATCCAGTCTAGACAAGTGCATGTCATAGTTTTCTCTTTCCAGACTTGGGGATGTACATAGACATCTACAGCATTCGTTTTCATTGTCATTTTGTCCAACAGATATTTATTGATCAGATGCAGTCTACTAGATAATGTTTGTTACAGTACAGTAGGATCCAGCTTCTTCCTCTGTAGGGCTTATATTTTAGTGAGTCATTAGAAATAATTGATAGAACTAAAAGAAAGACTTAAGAACAAAGATACGGCCAGGCGCGGTGGCTCATGTCTGTAATCCCAGCACTTTGGGAGGCCGAGGCGGGTGGATCATGAGGTCAGGAGATCGAGACCATCCTGGCTAACACAGTGAAACCCCGTCTCTACTAAAAATACAAAAAAATTAGCCGGACGTGGTGGTGGGCGCCTGTAGTCCCAGCTACTTGGGAGGCTGAGGCGAGAGAATGGCGTGAACCCGGGAGGTGGAGCTTGCAGTGAGCCGAGATTGTGCCACTGCACTCCAGCCTGGGCAACAGAGTGAGACTCCGTCTCAAAAAAAAAAAGAAAAAAGTTACATTGGCGGGATGTGGTGTCTCATGCCTATAATCCCAGCACTATGGGAGGCCAAGGAAAGAGGATCACTTGAGCCCAGGATTTCAAGACCAGCTTGGGCAACATAGCAAGACCCTGTCTGTATTAAGAAAATAAATAAAAAGGGGGGAAAAAAAAAACAAAGAATAAAGATATAACAGGCCGGGCATGGTGGCTCATTCTTGTAATCCCAGCACTTTGAGAGGCCAAGGCAGGCGGATCACCTGAGGTCAGGAGTTCGAGACCAGTCTGGCCAACATGGTGAAACCCTGTCTCTACTGAAAAATACAGAAATTTTCTGGGTGTGGTGGTATATGCCTGTAATCCCAGCTACTTGGGAGGCTGAGGGAGGAGAATCAATTGAACCTGGGAGGCAGAGGTTGTGTTGAGCTGAGATCGCGCCACTGCACTCCAACCTGGGTGACAGAGAGAGAATTATCCGTTACTAAATAATTGTAAACATATAGAGAGGACAAGAACAGAGGTAGGAAGGGTGACATGAAGATTGGCACTGGCACTAGGGTCGTCTGGATGAAAAATCCATTTGTTGTGATATTATCAAAAGGTATGAAAGAACATGGCAACTTACGAAGGTGAAATAAATACAAGGGTAATGATGGCAGAGAGATATTTTAAAACATCATAAGAAATACCATACGGAAATACCATATTGCTACGAAAATACCAATTTTCCATAGCACTTTACAGTTTACAAGGTACTTAAAACCCTGCTCAGTGAGCACACAAGGTACTTGTACTGGCTCTTTTTTTGGTTTGTTTTTTGGTTTGTTTTTTTGAGACGGAGTTTCTGTCTTGTTGCCCAGGCTAGAGTGCAATAGTGCAATCTCGGCTCACTGCAACCTCCGCCTCCCAGATTCAAGCAATTCTCCTCCCTTAGTCTCCTGAGTAGCTGGGATTACAGGCATGTGGCACCACACCCGGCTAATTTTGTATTTTTAGTAGAGACGGGGTTTGTCCATGTTGGTCAGGCTGGTCTCAAACTCCCGACCTCAGGTGATCCGGCTGCCTCAGAGTGCTGGGATTAAAGGCGTGAGCCACTGCGCCTGGACTTGTACTTGCTCTTATGAGGTCTTTGCCCATTATGATCTTTTGCCCCTGTTGTGGTTGGTGCAGTGGGTGGTGTCTTCTACCCACAGTCACACAGCTTACATGTCTGGGCATACGTTTAGAATCCAGCAGTCTTTCCACAGCCTGCTCTTGCCTTAGTGGACGTGAGAATTTATGTTCAGTTATCTCTCTCAATTTTTCTGTTACTGCATTGCAGTCACATCCCAGCTAACTTCATGATTGCTACATTTGCTGTTTCCTTAAACCTGGAGCAGGAGAATATCCCTGGCAGATTGATGCTGTCTGTAGGCCATCTGCATAAGGCAAAGTTAAGTCATGGGTGGGTCACTTGCAGCTCCTCACGGCGGCCTCCCCACTACTTGAAAACATGGGCACAAAGAGAAGAAGGTAGAGAACCCACAGGCTGCCAATCCTTAAAAAGTAACTTGTTGAAAGTATTATGAGTTTCCTTTTAGTTTTCTTTTGTATTGTCTTTTATTGGCTCTTTGGTTATATGCTTTTCTGTACCTAGAAGGCTTCAGTTTGCAGAGCTATAAATCTGTCAGTCTTAGTGACGTGTCTTTCACTTCAAATTAATGTTCAGCAAAGGGATTAGCAGATAACCATTTCAGGCCGAATTTCTTTACATAAAAGGGTGGATATGGTTTGAGTAGGCTGCCAAAGCCAGGAAGAGAAGTTAATTGTGTAAATCAATGCAGGCAAGAGCTGATCACCTTTCTGAAACACAAGACAATGCAGCACACAACCTCTAAATAGATCTTTGGGGTCAAGTTGATGTCATGTTGAAGAATCAATATTTACTGGACTTTGTAAAGTTAACCTTTAATGAACCCTCAGGCGTTTTGCTAGGCCATTAATTGCAGGAAGAGGAAAAGCAATGGTGGCCAAGGTCCGTGTGTGGAGGTTGTATAAAAATAAGTGAAAAGACAATCACTTGCCCATGTGCAAAGGTCCCCTCAAGCATCGTTGGGGACGTGTATTGCAAGGCTTTCTTGGGACCAGGTATGGTGGCTAATGCCTGTAATCTCCGTACTTTGGGAGGCTGAGATGGGAGGATTGCCTGAGTTCAGGAGTTGAGGCTACAGTGAGCCATGATTACACTACTGCAATCCAAGGTACTCCAGCCTGGGCACCAGAGCGAGAGACCCTATCTCTAAAAATCAAGCAAAGGCTTTCTTGGGATTGTACTGACATTTTAAGAAAGAGCAATTCCTACATCCTAACAGAGGAAGGTACATGCTTTACTCTTTGACAGTCCTTATTCAGGCAGTATGGCTGCATTTTCCTGGGATGAATTCTGATGTCATTTTGGGTCCTGCCTTATAAATGTGGTAATCACAAAGTCCAGTCCCTCTTGAAGTATGTATGGTTCATCCCTTCCTCTGACACACTTGACAGCTTTTATAAAGTACAGGATCATAGTAAAAAGTGTTTATTTTAGGTTGCTGGCTTGAATCCCAGTCTAATAAAGGTATTTGATAAGTAATCACTTGTACTTGTTCTGTTGGCAAGTAAGTGTCCCTCGGGTTGTTCTGTGTGTGTGTGCATGTTTTGTGCCCCTCAGTGGCTAGTCTAAATCACTTGTGAGTCAAGAGCCTTATCTTCTATTTATTTTAGTCAGCGCTCCTAACAAATGGCGTTGATTAGGCATATGTTATGTCAAATTTAACCCTGGTGCAACAAAGCTGGGATCCCTGCATGGTCAGTCACTGGAAGTCAGAAGCAGCCTGGTCAGGCTCTGTGAGTCAGGGTGTGGCCACGGGGCGTTTGCTACAAATTCTTGGTCATATCTGGTCAATAGATGACTATTGGATTTGACTTTTCAGAACCTCTTTCTCTGGTGCATTTGTTAGGGGAGACTTTAGAATTAATCAGAGAGAAGAGCTGGCTGTTCTTTTCTCACTCCCACCCCCATCCCTCCTCTCCTGGATCATTATTCAGAGTAAACACTGAAAAGAAAAAGCATGAGAGGTTTGTTGGGATTGTTGTGGTTTGGTGTTTTTACAAGAGAATCTGATGTTTAATACTTTCATCTATACTTTAAATATTCATTCTGGGTTTTTATTCTTCCTTTTTAGTTGTTTGAGAACTTCTACTTTGGCTCCCTGAAGCTGAATTCAATTCACATCTCTCAGAGGTTCACCATAGA